TATATATATATATATATATATAATAAGAATTACCATTTTTAAAAAATGGCAAGTCAAATTTCGGTCAACATGAATTACCTACTATTCTTAGTAAATTTTTTTTCTAAATAATCATACTAATAATATATTAAAGGAGTCATTAACAGACTTTGATATATAGATACGTGATTTTCACTTTAAATTGAAATGTAACAGGCTTTGTTCATTAAAAATTGACAACATGTTAACAAGAATTTTTCAATTTATGAGGCTTTGTTCATAAATTTTTCAACATGTAACAGCCTGTTAACCAATTTTCAAAGCCTGTTAATACATTTCAATTTTTAATAAGAATTACCATGTGAACATGACAACAATATTTATTTATTAATACATTTCAATTTTTAATATTCCCCAAACTTCAAATAATCATATTAACAATACTTTTATGACAACATTTTTAATGATTAATGAATATTTATATATCATTTTATTTATATTTATGTGAATAAAATAATATTTTATTAATGTACAGTAAATATGGTTTTCATAATCGAACCGTCATCAGGCCATTAAAATTTCATGAAAATGAAATTTATATGTTATTAAACACTTCCTTATGTACACCACTATTGATTTAACTCTTTGGCACGTAAAGTACTACATAGGTGTTCGAATTTATCCAAAATTGCATATTATTAGTTATTAGTTAACAAATTTTAAAAAATATTAAGGATCTTATATATTAAACAAGTTTAAAGTAGAGAAAAAGTAGAATTTTTTACGGATTTTCACCGATTATTTATTTTAAATCTAATTCTAAATTTCAATTAAGAAAAATTGAAAAGAATCATTAGTTACTCCTAGAAATGAAATCGATTTTCCTACCAATAAACTGATTTTTTTATCAAATAAATTGATCCGAATATTTTTTAAACAAAAAAAAATAATCATCATTTTTTCCTAAAAATGCAACCGAATTTTCCTAACATTGCACTGATTCTTGTACCAAACAAATTGAATTGAAAATAATTCTAATAAAAAAATTGAAATAAATTGTTAATGTTTATGCAACTGTTTCTTTCCTAATGAAAATGATATGAACTTAACCGAAAAAAAAAAATGATATGAACTTTCCAAAATTCGGTAAAACATGGTTAAGATAAAACATAACAATCTAAAAAAATCGATGCATTTAAATTTTAAAAAGTTGCACACAATTTTTCCTAAATAATTGGATAAAGTGACTTTAAATATCAACGACGAACCGCTTTTATTACCAAAAAAATGTGGACACAGTTTTGAACGTACATCTCGTCCAAATATCAGTTTTATTTTAAATAAAAATTGCACGTGACTTTATCCAATTTACACAGTTTTTTGAAAGAAAAAATTATTCAATAAGATTGGAAGAAGGGTTAAGAATTATACAACTATTTTCTTCCTAACTTTGTATCAAGTTTGCACGGTTTTTTAATTAATTTGTATTTAGAATTGTTTTCATAAATAATTGACATATTTTTTGCATAAGAATCTCCAAATTTGTTAACAAAAAAAATATAATTTAAATTTTGGTAAAAAAAAAAATATGATACGAAAAAAAATGGGATTCAAAATTTGCCATAAAATATCCAAATTTGTTACAAAAAAATAAGATTTAAATTTTGTTACTAAAGATTCACATGTGTTTTTTTGAACTTTCCATTAATTGTTAGTCAAATATTATATTTATTTGGTCAAACTTTCTACTAATATATATATATAGATATAGATATAGATTACCATGTGAACATGACAACAATATTTATTTATTAATACATTTCAATTTTTAATATTTCCAAACTTCAAATAGTCATATTAACAATACTTTTATGATAACATTTTTAATGATTAATGAATATTTATATATCATTTTATTTTTATTTATGTGAATAAAATAATATTTTATTATAATTTTATTAATGTACAGTGAATATGGTTTTCAGAATTGAACCGTCATCGGAACGATCAAATTATTCTATTAAATCATTTGTGGTTTGTTCAGATTTTATTATATATATATATATATAGATATATATATATATATATATATATACCTTTTGTAATAAATTTAAATAAAACGTGTTACTTAAATATCGAAACAATTTATAAATTCAAATGTTTAAACTAATTGATAAACAATTTGTAAATCTCTATTTTATTTAAATATGTAATTTTTTTTAAAATAATACTAAATGTAACAAAATTTATTTAGAAAATCATATCAATCCTACCAATCCAACCGACTGGTGTTGACGGATTCGATAGCAAATATTTTATTCTAACGAACTACACTGGTTATAAACCGATTCTCGGTCCAACCGGTCGCACTGTGTCCAACCCGATTTAACTTAAAAGCAATGGGTAAATCGTAATTAATGATATCTATATATTTAATTGGGAAAATTACACTTTGCCTACCGAACTATCCGCGTTTTTACACTTTGCCCACTCAACTTTTTCCGGTGACATTTTACCCCTTGAACTTCACATTTTCTTGCATTTAAAGACTTCGGGCCACCGGAGATGCAAAATCAAGGGCAAAGTGTAAAAACGCGAATAGTTCAGTAGGCAAAGTGTACTCGTGAAGACTAATTTGAGGTGTCTCCTAAGGTGTAAATGACGATTTTGCCCTTGATTTTGCATCTCCGGTGCCGGAAGTCGTTAAGTGCAAGAATATGTGAAGTTCAAGGGGTAAAGTGTCACCGGAAAAAGTTGAGTGGGCAAAGTGTAAAAGCGCGGATAGTTCAGTAGGCAAAGTGTAATTTTCCCTATTTAATTTATAAGATAATCATAATATTGTTTTCTTGTGCATCGCACGGGCCACACACTAGTTATTTGGAAACAAAGATGACTATTTTGACATAATAAATAAACTATCTTATTAATTAATGTAAAAGATACAATAAAAAGGACACATGGTGTCCTTATCTCCATCTTTTCCAGCCTTCTTGCGCAGCCCAATTGGTGTATGAGGCTCAATGTTTGGCGTAATTTCTAGCCCAAATTCGGAAAGCAGACCAAGTGCGGCCTTTATCGCATTTTTTGTTTTCCAGAAGCCCGTTTTTTGTGCTGATCTCATTTTTAAAAATTATTTTTCAAAAGAGGAAATCCGAAAAAAATTATTTTAAGTCCCGAGACTCCAATTTTTTCCCGAGTCTTTTCTTTTAAAATTTTGAGAGTTCCAAGTCCACGAAAAATCCGATTTAAAACCCTTAATTCTTAATTTTGATTAAGTTCTGGTTTTCGATTATTTTCGAGAAGTGAGATAGATTATTGATATATATTATCTCGCTTAAATTGTAGGTGTTTGAGGAGTCGAGCCTCAGCCTAACTACAAACGATCGTGTTATCTGTATGCTAAAACTGATCAGGTGGGTGTTGATAAACTTACCAAGTAGCCTATGAGGCCTAACTCTAGCCTTTAGAGAACTTAGTCCGTGATGTTTCATGTGCGGTTGCTCCCGTCTTTTCCATGGGGACGACTCCTGTCTTTGTTGTGTGGACGACTTGATAGGTTAGGTGTGATCACATGAGCGTGGCTGTGTTTAGGGAGGGTAGACTAGTCGATTTGCTTACATACTGCGATTATGATTTTAAGTCTTTATATTGATTATACTGCATGGTATTTCCACGGTGAGTTAGTTGTTTGATCATTCCCACTATTAACCCTCTTTTTCAGGTTGAGCTGATGGCCGTGGCGAAAGACGAGCGAGGCGGGATCATTATTTCATGTGGAAATTGAACTATTGTTTTCTGGATTTTTATCTTTCTTGGGATTTATGGAACTTGAATAATATTTGGAATCTGATTTGATTTGGATATTATTATTATGTTGATATGGATTTGGATATTTCGCATGATGGAATAAATGTTGTTGGCATGAGATATTTGTTTCGGGATGGTTGTACATGTTGTTTAAGTGATTGACTTAAACCGTTTTTATGTGGATAATTGAGTAGCGCTCGTTAAATAAGTTTCTAATTTGGTTTTTAAAAAATTAACTCTGAGTTTTGGAAAAATAAATTGTTATTTTTCACTTAAAAATAATGGGGCGTTACAGTTTACTTAAATAATTTTATTAATATCTGCAATAATTTCATTGATATCCATTATAATAAATTACAAGATTGATTTTCCGTGATTCATGTTCATAATATTTTGGCAATGATAAATGTTACAACATATTTTAAGTTCTAACAATAATTTTGATTGTTTTTCACAAATATTCACTTTTTATCTAAAAATATTTATAGAAAATCGTAACATGTTAGATAAATTTTTTTATTCCAATTAATCAGGCCACAGAGCTTCTAGTTGCTTCTATGCCTCCCGCTGAAATCAAGTTGGTGAATTAATCTTTGCCAATATAATTATTTCTTAAGCTTTATTTTGGTATATATAGAAAATAATTTGTTCTTCAAATTAATATAATTACCATTTAAAAGATCACGACTATATACATTAAAAAGTTGTATTAATGGTCAAACACTAAAATTGAAATATATTAATTATTCTTTAGAACTTATTTGTATATTATTGGCAACCATAATTATCTTTTTATCATTATTTTTGTTTGATTTCTTTCTATAATGAAATTCTTCTAAAATATATTTTCACTGCAGAGTATGCTAAATAAACTATAAATCTTTATGATGCAAAATAGAAAAATTTGGATTAAAAGTGAAAAATAGATTATAACTCTATTGTTTTTAGACTTAACGCTGATTAAAAGAGGTGAAAAATAAATGATGACCCTATTGTTTTTTAGACTTAAACGGACATAGCCTGTGAAAATAACTTATTTAATATCTCTGTCCCGTGCATCGCACGGTATACGTACTAGTATCATTGATTTGCCCTTCGCAGGCATCTTACCCCAGCTAGCCCTTCACAGGCATACCACTGGGTTACAACAGCTAGCCTTCGCAGGCATTTCATTGGAATACAACAGCTAGCCCTTCGCAGGCATATCACTGGTTTGTCACATTACATATATAAAATATAATACCTTGCGTTTAAAAGGAATAAGGTATAGTATGAAAACACCCCACCTTAACTGCTGACTGATTGAATGAATGAAATGCGCGTACTTTTTTGTGAGGGCTCGAATCCTCTTAATCTATATATAATTAAGGGGGTTCTGATTAATGGGCAGAAAAACAAGGAAATTACACAAAAAAAGACAAATCAAACAATTAGAGCAAGTAAAAGAAATAAGACATGTAAATCTTTCTCTTGACTTTTCTAGTCTTATCTAGGGTTCTCGGATAATTTCCAAGGCTCAGAAAATTCTACTTTTAAACTAGTTAGCACTGGTCATTCCGTGCACGGTCAAGCCCGGTTCGGCTCGCTGAACCGTTTGGGTCAATCGGGTGCTGCAGCTAGCATGGTGCTGGTCGGCTGATCTGGTCAGGCCGCTGGGCACGACAAGTTACTAGCTCGTGGTGCTGGGATGCTGATACGGGGCTGTAGAGATGCGTACGGGTGCTGGGCACATTTGCGGACGTTGGGGCGCTGAGGTGCAGGCGCTGTTAGACAGGCGCGCGGGCACTGGGCTCTTGGGCATGGTTGAGACAGCGTGCAGAGTGTTGAGGCATGATGCAGGCGCGCAGGCACTACTGTGGCTGCGGCAAATGACTACATCGCGTTGCGGCCCTGTGACCCGGCTGAGCCCGGCCTGAACTTTTTTCGGCCATTACCCCCGGCCAAACTCAACACTTTTCGCCCAATCTCAGGCTATTTAATACTTATTAAGCAGGTGTTCAAACCAGGTCTTTAAGGGATCAAAACTTCAACTTAAACCAAGGCTAGCACCTCTCATTTTCCTTCTCTTTTTTTGGAAAAAGAAGAAAAAAAGAAAAGAGAAAAACACAACTAAATTAAGGACACTAAAGCTGAACTTATACCTCTGAAAATACACATAATTTCAGCATGTAAAACACATACAGAACTCAGCAGGATTCGCAGCAACCGAAGATTGGTGGAACGACTACGGGCATTTGGGGACGGAGGATGAGCATGATGAATTGACATGGGATCGGCTCAAGGAGATTCTAGAGGCCAAACTTTATCCGCACCAATTTCGCGAGAGGATAGAGCGAGATATAACTCTAGAAATAGTCTCGATTTATGTTGTGGGAAAGTACCTTCTAATATGTATCGGTGATAACCGTTGTGAGGCATTAGCGCCTTAAGACCGGATTTTGAACCTTAGAATTATGATGGAGTACGTTCTAACCTTTCAATGAATTGTGCCAGAAATGGCAGATCACAGCAAGCCACGGCAGATCCAGGATCAACAAGGAAGAGGAAGTTCCCGCGCCTACACGACAGGTAGAAGACGAAGTCCAGAAGACTCAAGAAGATGCGTGTAGTTTAATTACCTCCGTTCCGTGAACTCGCGATAGAACCTTTTGTTGTGGAAATTTCTGCATATTTCGAAACTCCATTGAAATTCGAATTTCATTTGCATTTTCCGTAATATAAAGGCCGCAAAAAGCGAGTTATTGCTATAATTCAACAATTGCGAGGGTTAGAAAAACAGACAAGTGAGATCGTCGTAAGCGCCATTAAAACATAAATCATGCGACGAACCACCTCCATAACGAAGAAAGAGAGACGTAGATGCCCAAAATTTTGGGTGAACCATTGTTTGAGCTATGTAAGCTTTGGGTTAAGTTCTAACTCTAGAGGTTAACTCACTTGAGCTGGCAAGATGCCTTTAAGCTAGTATAAGTAGCAACGGCCAGTGTATAAGAGTCATAGTTCCGGGTAAGTCCTGGAGGCTTGAAAAAAAAGCCATGAGTCCGGGAGGAACCATGGAGGCTTGAAGCTGAACCGTACGTAGCAGACGTGTTCCCTGTATGAGGTGATCTCTAGTAGTCAGAGAAAGAGGAGACCCAGTTTAAAAGAAGCTAGAGCAAGGATCGTACGTCGAGTCATGCGTTAACCCTAGGACGACTTACTCATCCGTCTCGAAAGGGAGTCACCACCCAGGAAAATTCCAATAGTATGAGAATACTCAGACAACAGACGTATCCGTCGCCAGAAAACTTAATGAAAACCGAGTGAGAGGTTACAACCACCAAAAATTCAATAAGGAGAACCAACCTTCGCACACATGAAAGTTAAAAATAGCATGCTTGAGAAGACAAAGACTTATAAATTTCGCATACCTGTGCCAAATGGCACAACTTTTGAGTTTGAATTTGTGAGCAAATGGACGATATGCCGATAGGAAAAAATTCTAGAAGTCGTGGAGGGAGAGAGAGCACTTCACTGACAATGTCCGGAGAGTTAACCATAGTTCGCAAACGTTGACGAAATGGAGAACTGAGATGCCCCAACCTTGAGATTTTAGTAACCTTTGGGTAAATTTTATCCATTTAAGTAGTGAGACCCTCGGTTTGTACCGAGAAGAAGTTAGATCCGAGTCGTAGTGCACCGAGTTAGATCAGAGTTGCAATACAGTGAAGCCACTAGCATAAGACGTGGATACGACTGTGTTTGGGACTGTAGGCAACACTGACGCCGCAGGTACATCGCACGCAGGTATCGCATGCATGTGTTCCGCGCCCGAGGGCTCCGGGTAGTGGGTAAGCTGCATGTAACGTACTGTGTGCAACATATCGCATCGTCAGGAGCCGGGTCACAGTAAGTTAAACCGCAGTTGCTAGTTGTCCTCATCAATATTATAGATCTATGAATGATCAGGTAAGGCGATCAGAACGCTTAAAGGCTTGCGTTGTAAATGACAAATCCATTCGAAAGAACGATTTGCCACCGAGACAATTAATAAACGGCGATTGACATAGAGCTGTACGATTTAGTACTGACACAAGTGTGGATCACTGACGTACAAGAAGGAGATAGCGAGAGAAGATTCTCGGTCAATTGTAGACCGACAATCACTAGAGAAGAGATCAGTGATCCATGCAAAGACTAAGACAACCCTGAATCGACATAAGTCGCGTACATGCCAGCCACCGAAAGACCTTCAGACCAGTATGACGGAAATGTGACCCTGAGGGTCACAACCGAGCCAAGCCTAACAGTTTGGGCTTTGCCGCCGATATTCTAAAAAAAAATTTAGCGATTTCTCCACATCTCGAGTTTGAGGAGTTGTGCTGGAGCTCGAACGCGTGGAAAATTTAGATGAGTCTCACGTTGATCCGAGTTGACCCATGAGATGGTGCCTACGGGCACCTTGTGGCATAAGGTACACAAGTTAGAGAGCCGAGAAGTAGGCCTCTCTAAGTCCATGAGTGTTGCCATAGCTAGGGCGATGCTGCTAAGAGTATAGATGAGCTTCTTTTGAAGTTCCAAATATGGTTCCTAAAGTTTTGCCTTGGATTTCCCTGAGGCACGTAGTAAATTTTGACGAACCGCCATGGCAAACTAGTACTAGCGAGACCAGCTGATGCCGGGACAACCTTACTGTTGTATCCAGACATAAGACCCAATTCTTGACCTTGGGTCAAGGGTGTATAACAACCATGAGGCCGGGTAAATTATGGAGGCTTGAAATAAGAGTCATTTGTCCGAATTTGCCTAGGGGCTTGAAGCCGGAGTTGCCATGACATAGCCAAGATCACTAGTAAGAGGAAGACAAAATTCAGAGTTAGAAATCCTAGTCTTGAGTTTTGATTTGTATTTGGACTTGTAGTTTAGAGTTTGACATATACCTTAGTTAGCATTTCCGAGTTCGTGGAAAGTGCTTGGTTTACCAGCAGGTGAAGGCCGAGCACAAATTTTCTCCTAGATTCGTGCAACCGCTAGAGGTCCCATTGTGGAAGAGGGAGCACGTTACCATGGATTTTGTTACGGGACTACTCAAGTCGAAGGAGCAGCACGATGCGATCTGGGTAGTTGTGGACCGACTGACGAAGACGGGTCGGTTCTTGCCCATGAGGATGACGATGAACATGGAGCAGCTTGCCGTTATCTATATCTGTGAGATTGTTCGACTCCATGGAGTAGCCACCACGATTGTGTCGGATCGAGATCCCCAATTTATCGGACATTTCTGGTATAGCCTCAATGAGGCCATGGGGATAGATCTACAGTTCAGTACAGCTTATCACCACGCAGACCGACGGACAGTCGAAGCGGACTATCCAGACACTCGATGACATGCTTCGAGCTTGTGTACTGGACCGTGGTAGCACATGGGAGGAGTTATTGCCGCTGATCAAGTTCGCGCACAACAACAACTACAATGCATCAATCAATATGGCGTCGTACAAGGCTTTGTACAGGCGCAAGTGTCGATCTCTCTTTCATTGGGATGAGGTCGACGAACGACAGGTTCTCGGTCCGAAGCTGATCGAGGACACGGTGGAGAAGGTCGTGTTAATCCGAGAAGGGAGATAAAGCCTTCCTGAAGGTCACGCCATTGAGAGGCGTGGTTCGCTTTGGGAAGAGGAGAAAGCTGCAGCCCCGATTCCTAGGCCCATTCGAGATCCTCGAGCGAGTGGCCGAGGTAGCATACTGTTTGGTGTTGCCTCCTGAGCTTTCATGTGTGCACAACGTCTTTCATGTGTCGATGTTGAGGAATTAAGTGCATGACCCAGAGCACGTGTTGAGCTACAGTGAGCTCAAGCTCGGGCTGAGCATGACTTCGAGGAGCAACAAATAGCGATTTTGGAACGAAAGGTTCAGAGGCTGAGGAGCAGAGACGTATCACTAGTTCGAGTTCGCTGGAGCCGCCACGACGAGGCCGACGCCACTTGGGAGAGAGAGGAGGAGATCCGAGCTCGTTACCCAGAGTTTCAATTCTGATTAGTATCTTTGTATTTTTCGATTCCTAGTTTACAGTCGAGTCAGATTTATGTATAGTTTTGGCATTTCCGAGGACAGAAATATTTTAAGGAAGATAGATTGTAGTGCCCCGAATAATTATTACTATTTATGGAGCTCGACTTTATTTCCATAAATAGCAGTTTCCTTAATATATGCATTTAACTATTATTATTTGCATTAAATCGAGTAATTAGTATTATATCTCAGCCATGGAAGAGTTATTCGATTTTTAAATATTAAAGTCGGATTTACTTAGCCAAAGTATCAGTTTTATTTTTAAGGTAAAACCGAGCCTTGAAAATAATCAGAAAGTTTATTAAATTGGGCCGAGCCCAATAATCGAGCGAGTCGATTTTAATTCTGGCCCAACTAATTTTAAATCTGACCCATTTTAGTAAATCGAGCCCATGTTCGATTTTAATGATAAATCAAGCCTATGTCGATTTTTTAAATCCCGACCCAATTAATTGATTAAAGGTGACCGACTAATTTATTTATTCTAAGACCCAGTCAATTTTAAGTTGACTAGAGTCTAAGTTCGATTTTAAAACACGAGTCGAATTAATCAAGCCCACATCGATTAATTTCTAGGCCTGATTTTCA